TTTTGATACAAGCCTAGCAACTGAAGCGAAAAGCTCGAGTGCGACCTTGAACTCAAGTTCCTTGATCTTCTCTCTGACGAGCTCTCTAATTCGAGGCCGGTGCTCAATTGTGGCAGGCGCGGCAACTTTTGGCATTGCCGGCACGGAAAACTTTTGGGAAGTGGCTGGAATAATTTCCCAAACATTGCCTACGAGCTTTGCAGTTGCAGGAGGGCATTGAGTTGCCTCAAGCCGGGCCGGTGAAGACTTCTTCTTTTTGCCCTTGCTGCCAGATGAAGATGCTGGCTTCTCCTCCTGCTCCTTGGCTGCTTTCTTTGCTTCTTCCTCGATGATCAACTTCCTATCTTGGGGTCCTAACATCTTCCACAATTCTGAGTCGATCCCCTCCGGACGCTTTGAACCTTTATAGTTACGTACAATCCGGTGACCATCCCAATGATGTCCATCTGGAATTATTTCACCTTTAGGGGTCAGTTTGAGATCTGGAAATACGGGCGCTTCGGGTGCATCAGGCTCGACATCGCTGTCGGCTGGTAGAGGCGTACCTGGCTCGTATTCATACTCATCTTGTGGCGGATGCAACCTGGACTCAAGAGGCACAGCTTTGGGTGTCTGCGGAATGACCTGGTCCTCGAGGCGATCGGCTTTGGGTGCTTTCGAGTCAATCAGAGCTTTCAAAGGAAAGATGAAACCCTCGGATGGCAATTCCAACCTCTTTGTTCTTTGGATTGTCAGTGCACCCCAGTTGACATGATAATCTGCGGCTTCCAACTTGGCAACTAAGTATTCACCCTTCCAATCATGACCTGGTTGGATGTAATACCCAAGGAAAATTCCTTCATTTGCTGTTGGGGAGAGCTTACCTGATGTGTTATCCAACCTCTTGGGGTTATTCCAGAATAACACTTTAGCACCAAATGGAATGTGCATTGCAGGGAACTCTTCACCAAACCTGAGTTGCCATGGGGATTCACTGCCGTCAAGCTGGGGGCTTGCATTGATCGCGGTCGCATGATGCTGCATGGCCAATGGCCACATCTTCAAAGGAAGTCCTGATTGCAACAAGTTGCTCCGGGCACCTTCCAACATCTGACGAACTTCGCGCTCAGCAAAAGACTTTGATGAATCTACATATTCAATGGAAGTTTGGTGTCTGTAACCCAAATCCTTGATGGCCCTGATCAATTCTGGGGAATTGTCAGTGTACACAACTTGAACATCATCCTTTGATCCAATGAAGTGATTCAAACCATCAACACAGCTTTGTGAGTCCTTGGACTGGCTAGGGTAGACATACCGATATTGGGTGTGCAGATCTTTCAACACCAATGCAACTTGCTCCCCCCTGAACCCCTCTTCTACGTTTTTCTTGATGATGACATGATCCCCAATGACATGGTCACCGAACACTTCAGTTTCGATTCTCTTCTGACCACCTTTCTTTCGTGCCTGAGGTGCCATCATCCTTGCTCGTTGGCAGGTTCTGCAAAAGGGGTTCTTGGGGAAATGCGTGTACTGATGTTGGGTACTTGCAGCTTCGGCCAATAGATCCTCAGTCTTGCGGCTTCGGATGTACTCCTGCTGAGCGTCATCCTCCACCAGCTCATCCAATTGCTCTTCATCTTGGGCTTCGTCCCGTTTGGCTTTTGAGCTCGACCGTGAGGTCGGCATTGCAAACAACTTTCTGAGGTGCTTATCCTTTTGAAATTGATCTTTGGGATAAACCTTGCAACTATCATCCAAAACTGGGACATGACCTTCGATCTTGAGCTGGACGACCTTGTCATCTGGACGGACTAGGATTGGTTTGCCATTGGCAGGCCATACGAAACTGTAACCCTGATCTACACATCTCGTTCCTACGGAGAGCACAGCTGGGGTATGATCAAGTACATACGGATGCACGGGATCTGGCAATGCGGACAACTTGACATCAGCAACCTCGTTTGCCTCGGTCGAACCATTGGCTGTGACTAAGGAAATCGGATGCTCGGCTGCACGGCAGTTCTTGGCACTGACATCCCTCAGCATTCCTTTGGACACAAGATCGGATTCACTACCTGAGTCGACAAGCCAACTAACGCCGGCCTTTGGCGCAGCTGTGGCAATTGACGGGAAACGACCAATGTCTCTAAGAGCTTTGGGACCGCTGACGAACCTGCACTCTTTGCATGTGATGTCACGTGTGTCCTCATTCCAACAACAAAACCCACAACTAGGTGCAACATCTGAATCATGAAGTTTCACAGTTTCCTGAAGCTGTCTTGCACGAACCTGAGCCTCATGTTGTTCAACCTTGGATGAGACTGGAACATCTTCAGCTGTCTTGTACACCTTAGTGAACTCTCTTGGACGGTGCTTGACTGGGACTCGACGACCAACTGCTTTCACCTCGATCACATGTGGGGCCTTTCGGAATCTAAGGCGCTTCATGCTGACACTTGACTCATCAGAGCACGAAGTTGCCTTCGGCTGTTTTCGCACGATGCATGCAAACTTCTGGATCAGGCATGGAGCGGCTGTGGAATCCTTGCTCTTCTTCTTGGGAGCGGGTGAATTAGCCCTTTTGGTGTCTTTGGTGGCGGCAGCAGCTTTGTCATCATGCTTATAAAAACATTTGTCACCACGTCTGCACTTTCCCTGGGCATGATAGATACATGGGGTTTTGGCCATTTCTTCCTTGGACATTTTCTTCCCCTTATCATCTTTGTTGCCCCTTGATGGTGAACGTGTTTTGGTTCTTCTGGGTGATTGAGTTCGAGATTTGTCATCCTTGACATGCTTAAATGGACATTTCTTCCCCTTATCACAGGTACCCTTTTGGAACTTATAGCAAATCTTGTCACCTTTGCCACCTCGTTCCTGCGATCTACCACGACTTGGGGAGCCCTTTCGGCCACCGCGACCATCGCCTTTGGCAGGTGCGGCCTTTGTGTCCTTGATCCCAGCCTTGTTCTTCTCCGCGATGCGGTTCCTGTTCTCCCTCAATCGTTCGCGATCGATCAAGTTCTTCATGGATTGGTGAAGAAAACTATAAGACTTTTCATGGGATTTCTCATGAGCACGGTCAAACATCTCAATGTCATACTTCAGCAACTGACTTGGTCGGATCTGCCTCAACAAGATGTCCCTTAACACAGCATCATCGGGGGTGACAGCCATGCCAGCTAGGGTAGCATCCCATTTGTTGATGAATCTTCGGAGATCCTGGACAGTATCGCCTACTTTGACAACACCCAAAAGATCTTCTACTCTGTAAAGGCTACCTGCTTCTTCTGATGTCTTGAAGTAGTCCTCAAACATGAGCAGAACATACCTTCCCCTGACCTGGATGCCTTTTCGGGATTGCTGCTCCTTGAAATTCAAGATCCTAGTTGCGAGGTCCCCTCCGGCTGAGCGCGTGAGCGCTGCTGATAACTTTGTATCCAGCGTGAGGAACTTTCCAGGATCTTGGAGTTTCTTCTCCAACTGCTCTCTGGTGCACTCTTGATCGTACACTTCATTGAGCCAGAGCCACGCCTCATCTGGGCGATCTGAACAGCTTTTCACTTCATCCCTGACATGATTCTTCCAAGTCCTATACGACTCCGGAGCGGGCATGTTGTTCAGCTTGATGAGTTCGGCCTCCTTAGTTTTTTGGCTTATCCTTTTCTTCCCTTTGGGTTAAGGCTTTCACCAATTCAATAAGATCTGAGGGACCCATAACTTGCTGTTGCTTGGTTACGCTCTTGGGGGAGTCATTTGGGGGAGTTTTGATAGCTTCAGTGGGAGTGAAAAACCCTGACTGCGTTGGCAATTGGGGCTGGTCGTTGCCGACCGCCGGCTTTTGCTTGGGACTGCCACCTTTGAGCAGCTCATCCAACTTGGCCTTTGCTTCTTGTGCCAACACTGCAGGCGTCTTCAACTCATGAATCGGCTCGTCACTGCCTTTGGCAGCCTGTGCATCGGATGCTTTGGGAGTGGCAATATTGAAGTGGGGCACGCTAGTGGTAGCGGCTGGCTCGGCATTCAGGGCGGATGCTCTCGGAACGGAGGCATGCTGCACTTTGGCAACATGCTTTAACTGCTCCTGAAGGTCATCGATTTGGTCCTGAAGGCTAAGGTTCTGAGCCGCTGCCTCATTGATCTTGTCGGCCATCTCCTTCTTGTAGTTCTCGAACTCGGTCCTCAAACTGATGAACCTGGCCTGATCAATTGCAGCCTGATCTTCATATTGCTTCTTTGTGGCAGCTATGGCATTCTTTGCATGTTCAACTGTCTGTGCATAGGAAGCTTCGAATTCACTAGTGATACGTTGCCTTTCCTCTGCAATTTTCTGATCATGCTTTGTGTTTGCCTCTGCCTTTACATCCTCTATTCTTTTGTCATTCGATGCCTGAGCCTGATTCAACCTGACCTCCATCTCGTCGCCTCGTTTCCTCTCCTCATTGACGGCACTAATGGCCTTACCTTCAATCTCCTGCAGCCTTTGCTCATACTCCTGCTCCTGCATTACGAGTCTACTTGACCATTCGTTTCGAATTGAGTCAACTACTCCATGCATTATCTGAAGGTGCCTCTGTTCAGCTTCCCTCATGACTTGCAGGGTATTCCCACTAGTAATCTGGGACAGGTTGTTTTGTATGAAGGTAAAGTACGCGACAACGGGTTGGAACATTGTTTCGTCATCCATCGGCTCGGGGTTGCCCCCGGCCACATTGGGCACAGCGACAGCCGATGGACCTGACCCTGGAACGGCGAGAGGATGGTCAATTGGGGTCCCCATAGCAAAGTAGTGAGACTACGGCTGATAACCTGTATTTTACCAGGTCAGCCAACAATAGTTACAATAACTAGTGGGGCAAGAACAAACCGGTAAGCACTCAGCTCTTTTGAACCAACGCTACAGAGTAGATCGATGATATATACACTACATGGTTTTACTGCAGGAGTTTTTACACTAACTATTATTAATGGTATGGTATGGTATGATAACTATACTAACTACTAGAAACCACTGGTTACATATTAGCGTCCGTCCCGTCCAACAAGGCCGCTGCTGTGCAGGTCCACCGTTGGGCAGCACGCCCGTGGGCCCACACCTCAGCAAAAATTGGGAACACATTATGAAAATGAATGTATTAATATTATATTATATATGATATATTTTATAATAGTAGTAATAATAATAAACAATGATAATAATGATAATAGCTACATTGTTATATGACTTTATAGCGTGCCCCCTACTTTTTTCATTTTTTATTGATACCTGCAGTGCTTTCTTGTGTTGGTCAAGTCTTATATTTCAAAGGCTTCAGTTTGGGGTCCTTGGGGTGTGCCATATAATATAAGATACGAATATATCAAATTTACACGGCATGCGTATATAAACACACCCTCCTTTGAGGCAAAGAACGGAAACGTGGAACGTTTCCGGCCAGGATTGCAATTAAAATTGCAACCAGTTGGATTCAAGATGTGGATGCGATTCCGAGTTTACAATAACTTAGTTCCCTCTTAACCACTGGATAGAGTAAATCTTGGAAATCCGAACAACTAGTGTGGAAAGTTCAAGAACCCAGAGATGCAATGCAGGAACCTATAGATGGCGCAATCCAAAGTCATGGATTTTCAATCACCCCTACCTAAGCTAGGGGCCCCGGTCCCCCCCCCCTAAAAATAAATTCCAAAATTATTTCCAGGGGGGGTTGACCTTTGCCATATTTCACATCCTTAAGTGCAGATACCCGGAAATAATTTCCAGAAACAGACCCCCCTAAATATTATCCAAAATCCATGAAATTATTTCAAGGTCCTTCCACCTAATTATTTTGAGGGGGGTTCCACGGGTCATCTCACAAGCAAGCCCCCCTGTTGGTTCATTGACTGCTTCCGTTTTCAAGACTCCTCACGCCATGGTTTGTTGTGTCCCAATATAATCTAACCCGTCAATATAGTTTTGAAAAAAAAATCGTATATATACACTTCAAGTGGTCAGAAAAAAAAACACCTATAAGACCTTCTCCCCTTGGGAATTTCCGCAAAATGGTGTTCAATAATTATCTTCATTATTGAATTTTTCCTACATATTTCCTATTTTTTTTCATACTTCTCCCTATTTCTCCCATATTCCCTTCATGTCCTGTCAAAAAAGACCGTGGGAATGAGTGGGAAAGGGCAAGCATTCGTTTTTACATGTTTTTGAGTTTTTCCCAGCCTCTGGGCGAGTTGGGTCGCTCTGGTAGCTGTTTTTTGAGAAGTGCAGGGCATCTTCAATACCCCTAAAATAATTTCTCCCCTTGAGAAATCCCACGAAATAGTATTCATTCTGGCTCTTTCCTGTAGTGGTTTTCCTAACCTTTCATATTTTTCCTTATTTCGCCAAATTTCTCCCATATTCCTTTTATGTGCCTCCAAAGAACTCTCGATGGTAAGCATTCGCTTTTTATAGGTTTTTGAGTTTTTGAGTTTTTTTCCAGCCTCTGGGCGAGTTGGGTCGCTCTGGTAACTGTTTTTTTGAGAAGTGCAGGGCATCTCCAATACCCCTAAAATAATTTCTCCCCTTGAGAAATCCCACGAAATAGTATTCAACCTGGCTCTTTCCTGTAGTGGTTTTCCTAACCTTTCATATTTTCCCTTATTTCGCCATATTTCTCCCATATTCCTTTCATTTGCCTCCAAAGAACGATGGTAAGCATTCGGTCTTTATATGTTTTTAAATTCGTTTCCAGCTTCTGGGCAAGTTGGATGGTCCTGGCAGCTGCCCATTTTGATTTTTGAGGAGTGCAGGGCATCTCCAATACCCCTAAAATAATTTCTCAAAGAACGTTTTTTGGTTGCGGGTTGCAAATGTTGATGCGTTCTTGGTGCAATTTGAATTGAAGGGAGATTCTGAGATGACTGGGAGGGAGCACACATGAAACATGATGTTTAATTTATTTGCGCTTCCGGATTTGCAACGCATCGATCCTAAAAAAACAACAAGACATACCTAAAAAATACTAAAACGCCTTTGCAAAGCCAACATTGTGCAGGATTTCCTGATACAATGTACTTTGTGATTTTCTTCAATTCTGTTTCGGTAGGCTACGCAATGCTACGCATTCCCTTTTGTCGCTAGATTTTTTGATAGGGGTATCCTTCTGTTATTCTGAGATTTCTGATGCATATATTGACGGGGCATTCTCTGAAGGCGTCCCTCATATTTCAAAACATGTTTTAAACATTGAGTTGGAGTGGAAGGGGGGGGTGGAGAACACTTGGGGTTGAAGCTTGACATGTGGCACTCCCTGCAAAATAATTATGTGAAAGGGGGTCAAAATGTTTTTGAAATAATATCATTCTAGGGAACCATTGGGGAAAGACATTTTGAGGGGGGTTAATGGATTTTTTTCCCAGGTGTTCCTAGGTCAAGTCGATGAATCGAATGTATGTCAAGCCCCATTGAAATAGTTATGTCTTATTATTGTAAGGGGGGGAGGGGGGGGTAACTAGGGCAGGGGTGATTGTGAACCAAATGGCTACTGAAGTTTCGGCAGTTTCATTGGACAATGGACAAACATGCTTGACCAATTATTTTGAAATACTTGTTTGGCACCTGACCCCTCGTTGGAAAATTATTTTGATGGGGTCGGACCCCATTAAAATAATTTCTAGCCTTGAAATTATTTTTGCATGGTTTGACCTATGCCAGAAGTATATGGTTTTCGCATGAAATTGATAATTATTTCTGAAAAATTATTTTGGTACGTGACCCCCCCTGAAATAATATAGCTAAGGTAGCAGCGATGATTTTCAGCAGAAAATCCTACCCCAAATTTATTGCAATCTCAATTTAATGTTAAAACAGTGGAAATCAGCTTGTTGTGAAGGCTGTGATGCTTTATGTGTTGGGACTCAACTTGGAATAAAGAAATCGTTGAGGCACTATTGCTTGAACAAAAAAGCATATATATATATATTCATTTCAGAAAATACATGCAAAGATTTGATGTGTCATTGCAGCATACAGTGCATCTTTCAAACAGATGCAGTATCATCTCGAAGGACATGGTACTCAATGGTAGTCCTTTCAAAATGCAGCATTGCCCTGATGAAAATGCATCTTCTTTGCCTTGAACATGTAAATCTAATTGACGAATGCTACAAAATTGCTCGACAAATATGTTTGTCCAAAGGATGCAGTATCCCTTCAAGAAAAGCGCATTCCTTTTCAATAGGTAGCAATCCCTTGAAGACAGTCACTTTTCTTGCAAAAGAGGAAGTGTTCATATCAAGAGGGAGCACGTGTGGAGTACGCACCCTGACTTTCAAAAAATGACTGCATGCTCACTCTAGACAGCACAAATGTAGCAATACTTGTACCAACTTTGCCAAATGTGGAGTATATATAGTTCCTTTCGAAAGTCCAGGGGGAAAGCATGGACTTTAAAGACATGGTGGCATGTGTGGTCCAGCTGTGCCGAGGCTCACACATCCAGCATGTACTGACCCACTGCCGTAGCACAACGCGTGACAGAAGCTACGTAGGAAGGAAAAAGAAGCCAAGGACATATCTAACATAGAAAAGGTAGGTCTTGGGGGGGGTAGGAATTATAGATCTAATTTTATATCAATCACTTTTAGGGGATATGATGATATGATGGAAAAACATTGATAAAAATCGGTAGCCCAACAGCAAATTGACATAGAACTGGTGGGCTTTCCCATGTCTGGCAAATCTACACCTCAAGAAACCTACAGAGATTTGGGGGGTTGTCCCCAAAAAATGTCACACAAAATGAGTCAGGGTTTTGCATGATAATTATGATATATCATGATATGGTATGATCATGATTGTATGTATACATGATAATTATAATGTTACCAGTAGTACCCGCACGAGGCGGGGCGGAAGTTGCCTTAAAGATATATATAAGACCTTTCTCATCTATAGAACTTGCATGCGCCGTGCGCCAGCCAAGCCCGTGCGTGCGTGCACTCTGCGAAACTGATGTCGTGTTTCACATGTCACACTTGAAGCCCCACGTCACACTTCACACTTGACAGTCTTCACACTTCACACCGCACCCTTCGCAGTCAACACTTCACACTTCTCACTTCACACTGCACTCTCCCCAATCCACACTTCACACTCCACACTTCACACTTCACAGTCCACACTTCACACTTCTCACTTCTCATTGCTTTCTTCACACTCCACACTTCACACTTCACACTGCACTCTTCACGCCCCACACTTCACACTTTACTCTTCACACTCCACACTTCATCTCATCTGAGCTCTTCTCGGCGCTTCTGCACGTCAGCAAGGTTGAGCGTAACTCATGTTGATTCTTCTACAGGCCAAAAGGCGTAGACCATAAAATATTTACAATATTGAGGTCATTAATGCCAAGCGTTGATGCATTGCATCAAATCGCAACGGCAAGTGTGAACATGGTGTAGTTGTTACCTGTCAAGGAGATTCACGCAGTCCAAGCTCGACAGCTGCTTTTTTCTCTGCGCTACACTTGGTCGTCTAGGCTTTTGGCAGCTTTTCGGCCCGCACTGGCACGAAAGGCTGGAGAGCTTATCACGTTGGAAGCCTGGTTGGCCGTCATGGCACTTCACGAAGCAAATCAGGCAAGAAGTTCTCACTATCCGCAATGACATTGCGGACCCAAGCTGCATCTGCTTGCGACAAACGACATCCTGCACCTGCTCGGTAAGCACTCAACAACATGGCCGCAGCGTGCACACCATCATCTGTCAGGGCAACGCAGCGCTGTTCTGCCAAGGTATCGTCTTGTTCCGTGCAAACAGTTGTCAAGGCTTCGAAACAACCAGCGCAGAGTCCATATTTGAAGTAACCCAAACCAATAGTCCTGCGCTCCTCGGTTGGGATACTTCGTCTGCACGCGAAGCATAGTGAATTTTGCAACGCGTTGTAGACGTGCAATGCAATCTTCAAGCTATGCTTGAGAGCTGCCATTTCTTCGAAGCCAATGTCAATCCTGAAGTTTTGCGACTCCAAATTTCCTTCCCCTTCCACTTTGCGTTGCAGCAAGTTTCTAAGGTTGGCGCTCTGCAGCACACATGCATTCGTAGCTGTCGAAGCAGCGCTCACGTTGCTGAGCGCATGGAGATCCAGCAATTCGAAATCGACTGCCAACCGCCAGAAGTCGCAAGGTCCGATAGCCATGGTGGTTGCCCTCGTGGACCGCACTGTCGCACGAGGATGGTCGCAAAGCGAATCTCTAACAGCAGAGCGTAGCTACAATATGAGTCTCCTGTCGTGTAATACAGTAAGTAGAGACATGCAGGTATAGCAAGGTTATGTGCGTCACTGCATGAACTAACTGTATTCCGTGCAACTTCTCTTACTGCACTTTCTCCTTGGAAGCCATCACTTCAAACAGCTGCAAGCACGTCAAACCAGAGATAGGACATCGATGCTGGCCTTCAGTCTATTATGCATAAACACATCGTTGCAGTGTGGAGCAAACAGTACTTCACATAACAGGAAACATCCAAAACATTACTGTCGCAGCCTGGATGCAGCCACTCCAATACGATTTACGAGATCCAGCTGCAAAAGACAATAGTATTACGTAGGCAGCCGCGGCACCAAGCAACCTTGATGCAGCCATTACAATGCGATCTGCGGAGAATGACTTGCAAAGCATAATAGCACTATGCGCATCGACGTCAGAAACTGCAGCTTCAAAACCGCGATCTCGACGCCAAAGCGAAAAAAAGACGATTTTGAAGCACTTTTTAAAAGGAGGTTTAAGTAGAAAATTACTAGCACCAAAATTGCGACAATCTTCTGACAAATCAGTGTCGCAGCCTGGATGCAGCCACTCCAATACGATTTACAATCTTCAGCTGCAAAAGACAATAGTATTACGCATGCAGTCGCGGCACGAAGCAACCTGGAGGCAGCCATTACAATTCGATCTGCGGAGACTGAGTTGCAAAGCACAATGAACTACGCGCAACGACGTTGAAATTGCACCTCCAAAACCGGATCTTGACGCCAAAGCGCAAAAAAACACGATTTTGAAGCACTTTTTAAAAGAATTTTAAAGGGAAAATTGCTAGCCCCAAAATTGAGAAAATCTGCTGACAAATCACTATCGCAGCCTGGATGCAGCCACTCTAATACGATTTACAATCTTCAGCTGCAAAAGACAATAGTATTACGCATGCAGCCGCGGCACCAAGCAACCTTGACGCAGCCATTACCATGCGTTTCGCAGCATGATGTCGCAAACCTGCACGCATCTACACACATAACAACACCAGATGACAACAGTCATGCAGCCATTCCAATGCGATCTGCAAGCACAGATGCCAAAACACCCTATGACTACGCACACACAAGCACACCCAAAGCAGCTTCAAGCCACCGTTACACTATTACACTGCGGCAAAAAAAACGACCAATAACCGACAAAAGCCGCACCCGTCGCACACACGAGGTACCTTTCATCGTCGCCTGCAGCCACTTTACACGGAAAAACACACGGTTTCGTGCTCCGGCTTCCTCCCCAAAACATAGCCCATGCAACATCATGCAGCCATTCCAATGCGATCTGCAACCGGAGATTCCAAAACACACTATGACTACGCACACACAAGCACACCCAAAGCAGCTTCAAGCCACCGTTACACTGCGGCAAAAAAAAAACGACCAACCGACCCCAGCCGCACCCGTCGCACACACGAGGTACCTTTCATCGTCGCCTGCAGCCACTTTACACGGAAAAACACACGGTTTCGTGCTCCGGCTTCCTCCCCAAAACATAGCCCATGCAACATCATGCAGCCATTCCAATGCGATCTGCAACCACTATGACTACGCACACACAAGCACACCCAAAGCAGCTTCAAGCCACCGTTACACTGCGGCAAAAAAAAACGACCAACCGACCCCAGCCGCACCCGTCGCACACACGAGGTACCTTTCATCGTCGCCTGCAGCCACTTTACCCGGAAAAACACACGGTTTCGTGCTCCGGCTTCCTCCCCGAAACATAGCACATGCAACATCATGCAGCCATTCCAATGCGAGCTGCAACCGGAGATGCCAAGACACCCTATGACTACGCACACACAAGCACACCCAAAGCAGCTTCAAGCCACCGTTACACTATTACACTGCGGCAAAAAAAACGACCAATAACCGACAAAAGCCGCACCCGTCGCACACACGAGGTACCTTTCATCGTCGCCTGCAGCCACTTTACACGGAAAAACGCACGGTTTCGTGCTCCGGCTTCCTCCCCGAAACATAGCCCATGCAACATTCATGCAGCCATTACAATGCGATCTGCAACCACAGCTTCAGGAAACGCATAGAACTACGCACACAGGAACAACCATTGTTACAAAACACATAGGAGGAACAATTCGCGACAGAAACGACCGCAGCCGCACCCGCCGCACAGACAAGGTACCTTTCATCGCCGGCTGCAGCCACTTTACACGGAAAAACCTAAGGTTTCGTGCTCCGGCTTCCTCCCCAACTCACCACTTCCCTTCCTCACCGCTTCCCATCGTCACCACTTCCCATCGTCACCACCTCCCATCGTCACCACTTCCCTTCCTCACTACTTCCCTTCCTCACCACTTCCCATCGTCCCCACCTCCCTTCCTCACCATTCCCCTTCATCATCACTTCCCTTCGTCACCACTTCCCATCGTCACCACTTCCCTTCGTCACCACTTCCCTTCGTCACCACTTCCCTTCGTCACCACTTCCCTTCGTCACCACTTCCCTTCGTCACCACTTCCCTTCGTCACCACCCGTCATTATCACCACCCTTCATCAAAGTCAATTCCACTGCTTCTTATTCTTTTGTTATGTATTGTTATGTTATGTATTGTTATGTTATGTATTGTTATGTGATCTACCACCCTGCATCATTTCACGTCGCAGAATTCTATTTGTCCGTAACACGGAAGTATTGCTTCCCAACTTCCTTTGATGATATCCGAAACGAGTTTCATATATTATGATCATGATTGTGATATTAGAATTAGTTATATATATTTTGTTTAATAATATGATCATATTATATACTAGATTATAATATAAGAGTATGATCATAGTTTCGGCAGTGGTGTCCCCCAACACCATCTGGGTGCTTCACTTCTGATCCTCCCGCCAAAGGGCCTACCACCGAGAGCTTGCAGTTGAGGACTGGTACCCATCGTAGCGAAAAATCCACCCATATTTAAGAGGTAAATCATCATTCTTAGCAGTCTTAGCATCTCTAAATAGACAATTTTCTATAGCTGTTTTAAATTTATTAAATGACCAGAGGGAAAAAATGTGTCAACCCTGGATGAATCAAGCCCAAAGTCTTGGGGGGTACCATTTTTTAAGTATCAAATTCTATGACTAATTAATGGGAGAACAATTTTCTAATTACAAGAAAACATGGTTGGTTTATGAATCTGCGGTTTTTCCATGACCTATTTTTTCTGGATGTACCATGATGAAATAATGACTCTTAAACTGGCCAATCCAGGCGCCCCCAACCGCCCCAACCTTGGAACGCTTCGCAGCCTGGAAGCTGAGATGAAGGAATACGACCCACCAGGAAACCATGGGTTTTTTTTTACCACCAACTGGTTACGGTTGGTGGTTGACCTACCCCTCTGAAAAATATGATTTGGTCAGTGATAGTCAGTTATTGTTCCCAATATGATGGGAAAAATAAAAATGTGCCAAACCACCAACCAGCCAAATATCGGGGGTTCCTGAGAATTTTCCTATAGCCTGGTAATCAAACATGCCTTGCTGGACGACTCCCCCATTTATAGATGATTTTCCCAGCTGAAAACCTATATAATTTTTTAGGGGATTTCCCAGCTAGCCCTGTTGATTGCCGGAGGGTATTAAATTATATTCCATTTCTACCCAAGATTCAAATTGTATCCCGTTCTGCCATGATCAGGAATACAAATTGCCAGGTAAATCCTATATAAATCCCATGTGAATCACCATTGTATCCAGCTTGCTGATTATCCCATTATTATCACATTCTATTCCCATTGTAATCCCATTGTTGGAGTACCAGAGGTACAAAAAAAATATGGGCAAAAAATATCCCATCAAATCGCCAGTAAATCACCATTACTGGTTGGTGGTATGCCTACCCCTCTGAAAAATATTAGTCAGTTGGGAAGGATTATCCCATACATTATGGAAAATAAAACATGTTCCAAACCACCAATCAGCCATTATAATCACCATAAAATCACCATTTCTGATGGGATCATAATTACCATTGCACTTGCCATTCACAAAATCCCACCTTGATCTTGGTCTTGTTGGCCACCGTGGCTACAGCCTGAGGCGCAGCAATAAACCCATCTAATTATCATGCTTCCAAGGTTAACCCAGTTAAGTGAACTGATGATATCATCGTAAGTTGATAATCCCATCTATGTATCAATATTTATATATACGTGTATATATATATATATATGCGTGTGTGTGCGTGTGTCATTATATATCCAGTATCTATCATAAGCCCTAGTTGACCTACTTCCAATCCAGCTTAGCTACGTAGGAATCACCCCCTAGGAATATACGCTATTTGGTTCCCACCGCAGCTTCTGACCATTTGGCCTTGTTGGCCGCTGCGTCGGCGGCTTCCTTGACCTGGGGTCTTTGCGGCTACCATCGTAATCGCGTCATTGGTTTTCACGGGGAAAACTTCACCAGAAACCATGGTTTTTACACCCACATGTAGAGGTTTCCTGTAGGTTTTCCTAAAAACTCATTCTGGAGCATATCGTTTTTAGTTGACAGACCTAAGTGACAAATAAACTATCCCCAACTGCAGGAAAATTCCAGTGGCGTGGTTTTTTCGTTAAGGCTGTGGGTTGCGAAGGTTGATCTCATATTCAATGGATTCGTTGAAGGGAAATCTTAACCAGAAACCATGGTTTTTACCATCAAATATTGCTGGTTGGTGGTTGAGCCCTACCCCTCTGAAAAATATGAGTTCGTCGGTTGGGATGATGAAATTCCCAATTGAATGGACAATAAAAAATGTCTAAAAATGTTCCAGTCACCACCAGCCGGATTGGGTTTTCCTGTAAATTTTCCCATCATTCAATTCTTTGACATCTCCGGGCGGGTTTCAGTTGCCGTTGCGGACATTCTCCGTTGCGGTCACCGTTGCGGTCACCAAGGTCACCCAGCATCTTTGGGCTGCGCAGACTTCAAGACGCCAAGCAGAGCCTGGCAGCGCCAAGCGCGACCGGGGATAGAATAAACAGTGATGGCAAATTTGATGTGATACATATGGTAAAATATTGTAGTATATTTGAAGAAAAGTCATATTTACTATATTTACTAGTATCTTAATATCTGGATAACAGTAGATAGATATACTGTGATATACTGTGATATATTCTCCAAAATCAACTAGTTAGCATATGTTACTAAGTGTTAGTATGTGTCCCATATTCTCCATTTATGGCCAAAGAAATAGAATGCCAAAGTATCCACTCAAGGTTGTCCCCACGGGTGAATAATTTCAGCCCGACACTTCAAGAATATGTTAGATACCAATGGTTTGTAGGTTGTATACGGTTAAATCCCCATGTTCCAAAGATTTGGGTTTCATCATGATGGTTAGTCAATCTTCATCAGTCAAATACCCCCAGAAAAACAAGGAACCATCATGGTGAAACACGAGTGAAACATGGTGATGCAACCTGCAACCTGCTTGCTCTGAGATATGCGTTTTTGGAATGGTCGAATATATCATCCTTTTTCGGCGACAAATGTGACAAATATGGATGACTGGTTGGTGGTTGAGCCACCCTACCCCTCTGAAAAATGATGGAGTGAGTTCGTCAGTTGGGATGGTTATTCCATTCCATTCCCAAGATATGGAAAGTCATTCAAAATTCCACGGTTCCAGTCAGCACCAACCAGATATGATTACCATCTGGTTATTTAACAGTTCGCCATGGAAAATCACCATTTATAATAGGTAAACCATCTATTTCTATGGGCCATCTATACCATTAAACCAGATGATAATCAGCCATTATCAGATATATTAATCATTGATTATCATTATTAACCACTATTAACCATTATTAACCATAGATTAACCATAGATTAACCATAGATTAACCATAGATTAACCATTATTAACCATTATAACCACCATTAAATCACCATTTCTCATGGGATCATAGCCTCAATGGCTTCCAGTCTCTGCTCCAAGGCCTGGCTTCCAGGTGTGCTGCTGGGGAGTGCTGGGGATTTCATATGACACCAGTGGTTTTTCTTGGGATATGGGGATGGGTTAACACCTATTAATTATATTTAATTATTATCATATTTAGGTGAATAACCATCCATAGATGTAAAAGATAATCCTCAGGTCACTCGAGGTCACTCACTTGGAAGATCATCCCACTCAGGAACTGGTGAAAATTACCGTGATCATAGCCCATTTTTTTTCCGATGGAAGATATAACTTTACCCACTGAATAACCATACTGTACAATAATTTATCATGTCAACCCCGGATGAGACTAAACCCATGGTTTATGACAATTAGGGGGGTACTCCTCCAATAGTCATTTCATCTAATACTTAAATGGTACCTGTCCAATTAAACAGCCGTTTGGGGTTTATTAATCCAGGGTTGACATGCATTATTGATAATATGATTTAACATGTTAAATAATGGGAATTGCCCGAAATGGTCAACTGACTCAGTTTGCGGCATGGCAAATCACCCTTAAAATAATTGGCAAATCAACGAACAAAGTGGCCGTTTTCCACGACTATTTTGGCTTGCGAGAGGGTGAGCAAAATATTAGCCCCAACTCAAAATGGGAATTTACTTACTGGTCAGTTGGAAGTTATGATGCATCATGCCATTTCTACTTTCATGTCAATTTGTCCAACACTTTTGCCGTGCTTAGCTGCCAAACCATCTTCCAATCCCATCTCTGGGTTTACCCTCTGCATGGCGCACACGGTTAGGTTACCAAACAGCCGTTCTTTCGTGAGGATCTCCCACATTTTGTTGAATCCCTGGTGCGATCACCATAAAATCCCTGGCGCATTCCCATTAATCACCATCTTCCAACCCCATCTTTTACAATGTGGTGAACCCATGCAGTTTTCGAGCCAGCCATTGCCGATTTTTGGAGGGTTTATACATGTTTATACAATCCATTTCTGGTGATTATTGGGTATTACTGGTGGAAAACCAACTGAAAAATCCAGAAAATCACGAATTATGGCAATGGTGGTAACTTTTTCATCCCCAAATGGTCGATGAAGAAAGGCAGCCAGGGTCCCGCGTTCCCATTGTTGCTGGAGGGTATGCATTCCTATTCCTATATTCCCATGATATTCCGCCATCATTATCCCCATTAATTCCCATGAATTTCACATTCAATCTCCATCTTTTTAAGGGGTTATAGTTCCATCCTCGTTCGGAATTCGGGGTCCCTGGGTCCGCGAACCGCGTTTTCGGTGTCCTCTTGGCTCTTCAACACCTGCGCTTTCCGTGACGGTCAACCGCTCCAAAACACCGGTGATGGAAGCAGCAATGGATGCTGTGATTTTTGACCTGATTTAACGTGGGTTCATTAATGGCTTGATCATGGGATTTATCATGGGATTTATTTACCCAACATGATGTCAATGGGAATTTCAGGATCCTAAAATGGAGCTACGTTAGTACCATATTTAGGACCATATTTTGTGGGGATATTTCCTGAAATTTAGGCCTAAAAAATAGGCCTTATGTATGGAATCGGTACCTCCAATCTATGAAAATCCATTTGGCGCCATGGTGTTCTTCCCCATGAAATATCCCTCAAACCAATCCATTGCAACCAGTATAGACTGGAGGACACGATGGAAGCTATACATTACATTGTGCCTATCATCATTTGTAAAGTACACTTGTCAGTGGCTTGTACATCTTCAATAATGTCAAGCCCGGAGTAGTAGCCCGTTGAACTGTTTAATTGGGTGGGCACCACTCTAGTAACAGATTGTAGCAAATTGTCACTAACTGCGGTAACCAGCGCAAGTAATCGACCAGGGTTTATTAATCCAGGGCTGGCATCATTGTTCAATCATGTTGGTTAATTATGGTTAATTACCCCAAACCAGCGATCCTGTACAAACGTCAGGAGTCAGGAGTCATCCCAACTTTCCCAGCGCGTCACACATTTTTGCAGGTCTGTGTGCCTGCTACTTGCGCTACTTGCCTTGTTGACGAAGTCTTGGACTAGTCGAAAAAGACAAAGCTAATTGCGAATCGCGACTAAAAGCATTTCCGAACCATCTCCGATACGGCAAATGCATGAAAATCCGGTGCCCGGAGGGGGAGGTCCTATGCTGCAATGGCAAAAAAGACACCAGTTTGGGATCGGACATGGAACCATGTCGGTGCAAAATCTTGACCTTCACAGGCCCCCCGATTCTTTCAGACACACCAGCGGTCAAATGAACCAAGCGACCCTTTGGGTCGATACTGCGGCTCTTTCACCCCAATCATAGCCCCACTTTGTGGGTTCAGGGCATGAACCAAGGGCAGCGATTTCATCCTATAAAGTCGTCTCAGTCTGTGTGTCGTCATGTGGCAATCTGCCAAACAGAGAGGTGAAGTCCGTGTTCACCTTGGATGGCACAGCTGAAACCCCTAGAGACAGCACCGGAAAAACTGTACCCTCGACACTTTAGAATCTCAAGCGTGTTAAAAAGAATTGCGCAGGATTCAAAAACACTGCTAATTATGTACAATATTGTCCAATTTGGCGACCCACCGCACTGGAAGCCCGTGGATCGCATCATATGGCATCGCAAAAAACCAACCGTCAACAGCTGGTGGATTTTGGGGACTCGCTGAAAGATCAAGGAACCTGTTGATGACATGCCTTTAAAGCGTCCCGGATGTGAACTCTCAAGGTTGTGTCAATCTCATCAAAGCTACCTGCCGAGGGCAGCTCACGATGAAACGGATTATTTCTGCACAAAGCTCCCCTTCACGCGTCACTTGGCGTCATGACATCTTGACAAGAGCCATGAAATCCAGATTGTTTCTAGTATATTCATATAGATATATAGATATTGCACATCCGCACAGTTCTTGTGACTTTCAGCGGCTAAATGAAAAATAGATATATAGATAGATACATATGTATACTGTATACATATCCGTACATATGTAATATTATTTATTATATATATAAAATATACACATCTATGACATCTATATATATATAATCTTATAATATCTTATATACCGGCAACAGAAGGCAGTAATATAGGGGCAATCTGAATCTAAACCCTGCAGCATCTCTCTCGCCTCGACTGCTCTGAACCAGGTCGGCGATCATCTGCTTATCCTCGCTGGTGAAACTCATGTTTACCAGGAAATTTGGGGCGAACACATCATGACATCATGTCATGACATTTTGTGGAATCTCAAGAGTTCCCCAAGGTGCACAACCCAATCATCCCTCCATCCCCTTACATCCCCTTACTATGCCTGACTATGCTCCCCCCGAGCTCACCGTCCTTGTCGGTGGTGGCCTGCGCGTCACGGAGGCTCAGAGTCAGCAGCCGCTCGCCGATCTTCATGGACATCTCGACTGTGCTGCTGCCGTAGTTCAGAACCCCCACTGAGGTGCAGAAGAGGAGACCGCCAAAGGGACCTCAAACAGCACGGCCACAGCGCCACAGCCAGGTTTGCCAAGGCGATTTGTTGGCGATTTTTTGCCAAGGCGATTTGTTGGGTATTTCCATGTATTTCCATTTTTGTTGCTGGTTAAATGGGAAGAAGAGGGAGGGAGCTATGGCTATACATGAAATGGCAAGATGGGAAAGCACCTTTCATTTAGAAGGCTGGTGCCCCTGGGAAGACCATTTTTGAAGATTATTTATGGGAGAATATCTGGCCGTTTTGGCTGTTGATGGATGGTCTTGTTTGAGAGTGGGCAATGGCAGTTATGACCCCCCTTTGCGTTTTTCCCTGTGCTTTGTTTTGACCGTGGTCGGACAGAACCCGAGGTTTCTGCGCTATGTCAGTCAAACCCATGTTTTCCGTAAAGCTCCTGAACGGCTTGAAACCCAGTTGCTTCATTTTCTTTCCAGGTTTTAAGCACTTAAAACAGGTGAAAACCATGTTACAATGTTAAAGCCTCCGTTTTGAACTATCAAATCCATAACACATGGCTGAAAAACTCCTGGTTCCTTGGCCCCCAGGGCTGGATGCCCATAGCTCAGCCCCGCTCCACGTGGGATAGCTCAAAACGAGCAACGCATCTCCTTCTGCGACTTCTCTTCAAGCTCGATGGTCTGAAGCAGCTCAAAGAGGCACCATGACCTGGTTGCCGGAAGGAAAAACCCGTGGAACCAGTGGAAATCGTGGGAAAATCGCGGAATCTAAGATTTCTTGTGTTGAAGATGGAATTGTGGAAGTGGGAAGTGGAATTGGCTGTGGGTTGTTTTGTTTTCTATAATTCTAGAGGTGCTTCTAGTAATGCATCCAAGGTTGCCAGCCTTGGTCGAGTAAAAGCGTGGAAGCCACTTTTTTGGAGATGGGATGCGGATCAAACTTGGGATGAGACAAAAAAAAACTCTGCAGCCTGGTGCAATTTCAATGGGTTCAGTTTCTGCAGGGTGGGTCCAAACTGATCCAGACCGCTTGCTACGACCGCTCAGCTTGGTTCACCAAAAAAAGTCACTGGTCCCGAGGTCTCAGAGCACTGCCATGCTGCAAGGTCACCGCATCAAGGGCATAGTCATCTCATCCAGAATCATACAAGTTCCCTTCCTTAGCGGGAGGCTCTTCGGCCCCGATCTTAATGTTCTTTCTGCTGCGTGTTGAATCGAGTTGATCCAATCAGAGGGGAAATATTCCAAGATTTAACAGTTTAGATAAATAGTATAAAACCAAATGGGTGGATTTCCTCTTATGGAAAGTTATAGTGTACGTCCCTTTACCATCTTTACGCGCAAACCCCCCAGTTCGCCCACACAACTTCTTAAGGATTTTGAATTCCCACCCTTAAATTCCCACCCCCCTTAAATTTTACATTCAATTGGGAAGATCAACAAGGGTATTAGGAATGTAAATTCCCACCCCCGTTAAATTTTACATTCAATTGGGAAGATCAACAAGGGTATTAGGAATGTAAATTCCCGCCCCTGTTAAACTTTACATTCAATTGGGAAGATCAACAAAGGGATTAGGAAGATAAATTTCCACCCCCGTTAAAGTTTACATTCAATTGGCAAGATCAACAAGGGGATTAGGAATATAATTTCCCACCCCCGTTAAACTTTACATTCAAATGGGAAGATCAACAGACGGGATTAGGAATATAATGATGAAAGTGCAGATGAAAATGATGATGATAATGATGATGATGATGATGATGATGATGATTGTGATGATGGTGATGATGATGGTGATGATGCTGATGATGTTGTTGATGATGTTGATGATGTTGTTGTTGCAACATTCAACGCACAGGTAGCTAAGCTGTGCGGTGCAAGATGAAAGCCATGATCATGGACATGTGCATTTTGTCCCACAAAACACAGTTTTTTTTGATGTTCGGACATGTCGTCGGCGTCTATCTTTACTTTGTGGCCCATCCCCCCATATCAACCGTGGTCAGCCCAGCTACAAGCCATCGCTGTGCAGGGCTTTGTAGAAGGACGACTCCGTGTGTTCGCCGCCACCCAACTCTTCGGCAATCTTGTACCTCAGCCACGTAAGCCACCTACCTACTCAGGGGCTATAAAAACTGGCAGAAAGACATGGAAAATGCGCTATAAGCGGATACCCTGTTCTTCTTCGATGGTCGAATTTATGTCCCTCCAGGTACAGACATTAATTAATTTGCACTTAGCGACGTTGATCAGGGCTTGAACGTAGTCGGAAAAAAACCGTATACAAACCGTAGAACGATTATTAATTTCGTAGAACGACTATTACTTTCCGTAGAACCCAGGTAGCCAAAAACGCTTACAACCTGCAGACTAGATCTTGAATCAATCGCAGTTCATAGCCTTTGTCAAATTAATAGCCTTTGGCACCACATACGTTAATTTGACGTGCTCTGGAAGATTAGGGGATACATATCGATACATATCCACAGTGGGGGTTATAACCCCAACTGCACCCCCGTTGGCATGGCGACGTGGCGACGAGGCACTGATTGTTGGAGAAAGTGCAGATCCAATAGGTCGTATTGGACCAGGACTGATCCCCTGAAACCGCTTCACTTCACTGGGTGGTGCATCTTAAGATATCTTAAGCATCATCAACAGCCATGGCACAAGAATTCCTACATGCATACAAGTGGCCACCTCTGTGTAACACACATTATACCGTTATACCTTTGATATACGGCAGTGTATTGCATGTTGATGCATGTTGTATATAATTTCCCATCATACGAATAAGGGTTACTGTGCTACATGCATCTACACACACTCACACGCGTGTATATATATATATATATTATTATATAATATTATATATGTGCGTGTGTGAACAAATGTATCATACAAGTATACATATATATATACACATGTTTATGTGTTTTTGATTTTATCTGTATAATTACAATAATACACGTTTAATGAAATGCTAATGTTCGGACATCACATAGAGGTATTGCGTGGATATCTCTTTGACTAAGGACAAGCCTCCGTCATCACCCCACCGTTGTTCCCCGAGTTTCCTTTGGCCATGGCTGATGTGAAGGTGTCCCGTGAGGTGCCACCAGACTCCTTCACCTGCAGAAAAGCCCTTGAGTCGCAATGGAAATCATGGGGATATGATGGGTACAGGAAGGCCGGGGCGGCCCCTCTTCTTACGTTTGTTGTTTTACAAACCCATCTATAAGAATCTATTGTATTATATTTAAGTAGAACTATAGATACATCATGATACATCATGACATCGACCATCTTTGCTAAAAGTATCCCCCAATTCTCCTTTACCTTGCCCTACCCGGCTGCCTTCACTTCATAGGCGTGTCGCTTCAGGGCGCTACAATACGTAGCAACTGAAGTGCCCCACCAATGACTGACGAACCACTCCACCTGCAGGTGGACAGCCTATGATGGTCGTTCTTTGACCTGTTCCTTGAATTTGGCTGCCGGATATCTGAAAGTAGCGGCTAGAAAATGTTAGAAAATCTCACTATCCTTCACCAATTTTGCATCATTGGTTCCAAGATTCCTAAGATAGTGACTGACAGTGGTAGTTGGAATATCTTGTAAGCTTGGCATCCAAGTTGAAACTGATGGCACACCAGGTCTTGGCCCTCACCTGGTCCGGACCAATCAGCTCAGAAAACGAGAGCTTCACCCCGGCAGTTAGAGGTCGAACGATGTTTGGTTCCAGGTAGTACATGTTTCCTGGGCCGAAAGGATCCAACGAGCCATGGGAAATGATGAGCTGCTAGGGACATGGCCATCCCGGATATCCCATGGGGGAAAGCGCGTCTCAGCCAAGCCATCCCCAGACCTCTCCAAGTTTCGGTTCCGAATATGCGCATTGAAATGCTCATAGAGGTCCAAGATCTTCCACACTCGGATGCCTCGGTCTTTCCCGCGTGCGGCTTCCTGGCGCAGAATGGTGAACCCTGGCTCTGGTGACTGGGAGCCCCAGGAGGTGCGCTTGAAAAACACCTAGTGGGAAACCACCTTCAACCACACATGCCCACCTCTTCGCTGAGGTAGGATCATGTAAGATCAACATCAGGTTCCGTCGGGTTAGAACATGTTAGAATTCATATTTACTCCAAAATACAGTCCCATAAAACTTCCACTTCAAGATACTTCAAGCCCTCCAGGCCTTGGTTTTCCTCTTATCATCCTTGGCGCGATAGGCGGCATAGGCCTTTAGCCGCCGACTCAAAGAGGTGCTGTTGCGGATCAACTGCTTCCAAATCAACAGGCCCAGCAGTGCCAGCACGATGGCCAGCAGGACATAGATGGCTAGTTCTTGGGGCGACGGGAGCCTCAACAACTAGCCGCATCTAGCCGCCGTGAAAGGGAAGGGGGAGTACCAACATGGAACAAATCAGGGGTCGAACCGACCAAAAATGAAGAGGTCAACCACTGAATGAAGTGCTTCTCTCAATCCCTTGAGCTAAACCATGGTAAACCATGGTAAAGCCTAGCAGATTTGCCGCCCAGGCCCCGGCGTTCACCAAGCAGCAAGTAGATGCCTAAGGCCACGGAGCCGCCCAGCAGCAGGATGAGTTGCAGCAGCAGCGGCAGACTGCAATCGGGCAACGCGGAATGGATCAAGGTCCGGAAAAATGGCACCTCTACCTGCCCCATGGAGGAGTCAGCTTGAAAGCTCACAGGCTTGCCATCTTTGTCCACAACCTCCAGGATCAGCTCGTTCACCTGAGCGCTCGCATGGCGAAGCATAGCGAAGAGCGAAGCCACCAAACAGGTTTCAACATACTTTCAAACAGTTCGTTGCGGGAGGATCCCTAGATGGGAAATGACTTTCGTTGAGTGATTTCCTCCCAACTGACATTCCATCTGACATAATGTTCTGACATTCTATTGGACATGTTTAATGCTGGCCTTCTGGTACGATGAATATTCTGAAATTTCACCTGCCGACATTCTGCTTGTGATTCGTTCTGACCATCTCTTACATGGCATTCAAACATTTTAGTGGACATTCTATCTGACATATATTCTGACATATTATCTGACATTTAATTCCAACCTTCTATCTGGCATATACTCTGACATTCGATCTCGCATGAACTGTGACATTTCATCTGCCGTATGTTCTGACATATGTATGTATATACATGTATACACATGTGTATATATTCCAACAAATATGTGGGCATTTTAGCTGACATTGTGACATGACATTCTATCGGGCAGGGCCAAGAGCTGCGAGCTGGCACTGGTGCAAGGCGGTAGCAGGAGACCATGGAAGGTTTACCAAGGAAACATCACAAACGAACTTTGGAACAGCACTTTCAAAAAGGGATGTGAATATTAGTGATAGGCACCGCAGTCAAGGGCACAGTGCTTCATTTTGGGTGCAACGAAATCACAACTGGCTGAAAACGACCATTTCTATCCATTTCTCAGATCATCTCAGATCCAAGTAACTGGCATGACGTAGAGCTGAATTGGCTTCTCAGGCTTCGAATCCAACAAGAAATGGCCGGTGCCCTGCAGGAAGACGGGAATGGGATGCCGTTTCAACTTGATCAGGTTGTGGAAACCGCAGGTGGTGATCAAGAGATGATCCTTGGAGCTGCAGAGGCTGAGGCTGGGCGAATTGCTAAAATTCTATGGATTAGTGCAAAAACTGGCAGTAAACCCCATACGTAGAATATAAGTTTAATAATTTCTTAATACGTCTATCCATATCCATCTTTATTGGCACTTCGAGGGTCCAGGGTAAAGACCCACATGTTGATACATTTTGACTTAGCCAAGGATCCCTCTCATTGCAAATGTCCTCAACCTTCCGTGGCATGCCATGTAGCTTCATCACGCCATGCCTGGAGCACCGGAAGCTGCTGAAAATCGCCAGGAAGAACAAAGTCATCAACGTGAGCCACGAAAAGGCCATCACGAACAAATCCACGGCGATGACGCACTCCTGCCATGAGAGATGATGATGGAGGTCAGACAAGATCTACAGAGAAAGATGAGAAAGATGTGTGCGCAAAAGAATGCGGATGCAAACACAATGTGTATCTTCTGACCATGTTCCATATTTATCTATACTACGAATACTTTTCTTCGTTGTATGAGTTGTGTGTGTGTGCATTTGCATTCTTTAGATATCTAAAGGTGTTGGCTGTAGATCGGATTTTCGCATCTGCAAATTCAGGGGCTCCTTGGGGTATCACACCCACGACTCTCTGCTTCTAAATGGGTTGGTTGACCCCACTTCTATGCCCCACGGGAAAATATGACAGATGTAAGCCCTATCCCCTAATAAAGACCCTTAAAAGCAAATCCAATACAAAAACCAATCTTTTTGGTCAGTTCCTTCTGAACATAAGAAACCTACAGTATGAATGTCCTTCAAGACTAGTAAATAAAAAATATACAATACAAATAGATATAATATGCATATATATATATTTGTTTATTTATTTACATATATTCGAAGGAAGTTTAGAAGTCAAACTTCACTCACCTTTCCATGTTTGAAGGAAGTCTCGCAGAATTGCTTCGTTTTTGATGTTGTCAAGTTCAAAAATTGAGGAAGTCTCGCAGAATTGCTTTGTTTTGGATGGTGTCAAGTTCAAAAATTGAAGAAATCTCGCAGAATTGCTTCGTTTTGGATGGTGTCAAGTTCAAAAATTGAAGAAATCTCGCAGAATAGCTTCGTTTTCAATCTTGCGGATAAATAGATAGATAAATAGATAGATCGATAGATCTTAGATAGATAGATACGTAAGTAGATGGATAGACAGATAGACGACTACAACTACAACTACAACTACCACTACACTACACCACTACTACAACTACAAATGCAAATATATTAATTACGATACATTACATTACACTAATTACACTGCACCACACTAAATTACACTAATTACATCTAATTACATCTAACTACATCTAACTACATCTAGTTACACCTAATTACATCCAATTACATCTAATTACACTACACTTCACTACACTACATTACACGACGCTACACTACACGACACTACACTACACTAATTACACTACACTACACCTACAACTACACTACTTTACAGTGCACCACACTAGACTACACTTCACTATACCACACTAGAGTACGCAACACTACAGTGCACTACACTAATTACAAACACCACAACTACAACTGCAACTACACTACACAATTACAACTGCACTACACCACACTACATCCAGCAGTTTTGGTGGGGTGAGCACTGCAACCATTGCAACCACTCCAAAAATCACAAGTCCAACCACCTTTCGGTCCATCAGTGGATTCGCTCTGCCATCCGTGGTTCACAACAACCAACCTCTCCTATAGGTTTCCTATTTTGAAACTTTCGCCACCGCCTTGCGCGGTACTACTGGAAATAAGCATGAATCATGAATATATGTATCAGTACATAAATATATACACACACACATATATATATATATATGCATTTATCTATATATACATATTTACATTTATATACATATATATATACACAAACACACAAACACACATATATATATATATACATATGTGCGTGGTATAAATATATATATAGATATATGATATAACATGATATAACTATATCTATAACTATTACTTGACAATTTCAGCCCTTGGTCTGTCGCCTCGCCACGAGGCCCACCAGCAGTTTGGATCATCAGGGGGCACTGGCGGCAATGGCCGTGGCCGTCCAAATCCACGTAGCGAAAGGAGCAGATCAGTCGCACCTGAGAAACAGCACCGTTTTAAGCGCCAAAGAATGGCCCAAGATGGCCCAAGATGGCCCGTTTTAAGTCCCCAGACATGTCCCGATTTTTTTCTGGAGAAAACATGAAACACTTGGAGATATGGCAATGATTCAATGATCAATAGGAACATCATCTTGCAAACCATTTCTGGAGGTCCATGTAAAATGAAGGGGGGTAATGGGGACTGACAGGATTTGATGCGGCTCATGGAATTCAATCGGCGCATTGTGCAAATCTGGGATTTAACAACTTCAAAAAGAGTGCTTATGGATGTACACCATTGTCACCTAAATCGCCCAACAAACTCGGAGGAGGTGAGTAATAAAATGTTATAACATCTGCTAAAATAGCATCTTTTAGCCATGTTTTAACCATGATCCCATGGCCCCTCCACTTCACCCATCCTTCACGCCCAGCGACCGTCCCAATGTGTGCTAGAAAGTGTTGAGGCTCGTCGCAGGCTATGACTGGACCTCCAAATCGACCGTCTGCGGGCTGACACCAACAGAGCTGGTAGTCCATCGCAAGGAAGCCATCCTCTTCCCTGAGATTCTGGTGGAGACCGAGATGAAATCTGGTCGAGAAGTTAGATGAGTTTCCCAGCTATAAACCACCATTCCCATTGCCATGTTTGATTACTGGAGGGTGCAAACGGTGCTGCCGATGCTGGGTTGGTTGCATAGGTCAATATTCTCTTCAAAATTCACATTGCTTCGCTTCAATAGCTTGATTGATTGGTTGGCTGTTTGGCACCGAGAGGGCTGGTGAAACAGAGATACCCTCAGCAAACGGCTACTAACTACGTAATGTTAGTACGGCAACCCCCCCCCAATAAAAAAAAATACTTGGTGGTCACGTTGAGCCACCCATGGTCACGTAAAGTCACCACTAAGTCACCCAACCGCAAGGACCCAGTATGCTGATGGTTTCTACCACCCATTTGTGGTATAAAAAAAGGGGCTGGTCGGGATGGATATCTGGTGGAGAATTCCCCCGCCTGAGAATGCCGAAATTGAACCTGGAGTTGTTGAAATCAAACGTCGCCTCGGTGGAAATCAGAAGTTAGTGGAACTTCAGAGCCTTCATCCGGTGTGGGAGTGGTAAAGACATCTAAAAACATCTAAAACCCTGATGCGGCAAAGCTATGCAAACCTTTCATCAACCATCACCATGCGATGTTCAAGAACAATTCAGCGCCCAGGAGCATTCAGTGAATCTAGAAAGGGTTGACCGTGGGGTACCCCGCATTGCGGCAGTAGCATCACCTTGTCTTCATCAGTGAGTCTGGTACCAAAGACATTGCTCACCTGCCAAGCCGACCGAGGGTAACATCTGGTGATGCCAGCATGGGAGACTTCACACGACAGTGAGTCGCAATAGCGCCAGTAATATGATGGAGATTCCAAAGACTGGGGTGTTTCACATATCATTTTAGCGATTTGAGTACACTCTTAGCAACAACCCAAGCACCGTCCTGTTTTTTCTTTGGTCCCTGGTTAGTCAAAATCAAGATGGGCATGTAGCGACATCAGAAAACGGCACCGAAAGGACTATGAAGCACCTAAATGGAAACAGAATAACAAGCACCCAGGAACCAACGTCGTTTTGCCATGTTTTCCCGTTTTTTTTGGCTAACCAAGGTTTTTTAAGGCAGCTATTTGCCGGCTCGAACACATCCCAGTCAGTCTTGTGTTGTGTGTTCACAATGGCCGGCCTATCAACTCAAGAGTTTTTAAATTGCACACATTCACCTTTAGAAATTGTCAAAGCTGATCCCCAAATCAAGGCCGATCCAGGTTCCCGTGTCTTCTGTTTTTTGTCTTGTCACAATTCTTCTGGCAAAATATCAAATCAGGTGCCAGGTTAGTTTTCGGGATCGTGTAGTGCATGAGAAACCATGATGGAAAAATACCCGCAGTCCAGACCAGCCGAATGAATGTCCACATACGTGTTTATTGTAAGAATTTATACATGTGCAAGTGGTGTCATGTGCTGACACTTGCAAGCAGGCTGCTATGTTAGTTTCTTGGGGTCCTGTGGTGCGTGAGACTCCATGGTATATAAAGGGTCTCACCGCCCAGACTCAACCCAAAATTCTGCAAATGGCACAGTTTACCTTTCGAAGCTGTAAAAGTGCTATGTTAGTTTCTTGGGTCTTGTGGTGCAGGAGACTCCATGGTAAACAAAAGGGCCCAGCCGAGACACAATCCATGTATGTCCAAATTACAGCACATTCTTACCTGTCTTACCTTTGGAAGTTGTGAAGGAAAAGTAGATCCCAAATCCATTCCCATCCACGTTTTATTCTTGTATGTCATGTCCTGTTTGCCTTGGCAAATTATCGAATCAGTTGCCAGGTTAGTTTTGGCGGATTCCCTGGTACAAAAGGCCCACAGTCCAGTCTCCACTTTTTTTCATCGCTTTTTTTACCTTGGGAATCTAGAAGTTGTCAAGGGAAAAAAAGATATGCAAATCGATTACCAAAAATAAAAGTTTCTGCTATTTGCTCATTATTTGGTCAGTTCTTGTTCCCTCGCGCAAAAACACTACTCAGGTGCTATGTTAGTTTTCAGGGTCCTGTGCAGCACGAGACTCCATGCCAAACAACAGGGCCCACAGTCCAGACTCAAACCACAAAATGTTCAAACGCCACATGTTTTCCTCTTTTGGAAGTTATAGAAGAAACAAGGAGGCTTTGCAAGCAGGTGCCAGATGTTTTCGGGGTCTTGTTCGAAAACTGAACCATGTCTGAGACAAAAACAATTTTGCCATGCTTTGTGAGAGGGCTCGTATTGTGGGGCTCAATGGTGGGGCTCAATACGGGCAGATGCCTGGTTAGCAAGATTTTGAGGGTAAAGAAACAAACCTAGCACCGCACCCTGCTCATGCCTAAAATTGGATGAATTACATCATGTATTCCCCGGGGAAAACATCTTCGAAAGTACGATGGTTTCTGTGCTAAGAAGAAGCGGTCATGGATTCCCCACAAATGCTCCCGTCTATTCTAGGCCTGGTGTGTTCTAAAATCCTTTGATTTCGGAGCCTCGGTTGTTCATGTTGAATGTAATGCTTGACCCATTAAAAACCCATCAAAATCTCGTTGGTGGTATACCTACCCCCTCTGAAAAATATGAAAGTCAGTTGGGATGATGACATTCCCAACTGAATGGAAAGTCATAAAATTCCACGGTTCCAAACCACCAATCAGAAATCACAACGCATCAATTTCCCTAAACGGTAAGCCATGGCACCTGAAAGCTTTGCCCCAACATCGAGGTCATAGGCGGCAAGCGGTTGGGGCCAATGTAGATGAAAGTTCCTGCCTGGGACCGGTTTTCACAAAAATGGAGGGGAAAAAAACATGGGAAAAGCTGAGAAAATCCAGGGTGATTGGCCCAATGCTGGAAACCATTGGAAACCTATGGTCAACTGCAAGTTTGGAACCCGTGGTTTTGCAGAATCCCCGAGAAAACTTATATATGAAGGCCCTCATACAGTGGATCTACCTGGATCTATTGCAACAATTCACAAACATGAAATGTTGATAAATGTTGATAAATGATGATAAATGTTGGGTCTTACTACCAATCAATACCAATCATAGATGGTTATGTCATATACGTCATGCTGCGATCAGAATATTCATCGATCCATGTAGGTTGAGCCTTTGGGAGGCCCAGGGGAAAAATGGTCGTGAGAAACAGCAGCGTCCCATCGTGTTCCTACTGATCTACTGTCTGTTTCTGTTGATTTTTTTCACAATTTTCCATGTGGCTTGACACCACCATGGCGGATTTTTTCTCCATGCCAACAAGCGCGTGTTTTTGGTAGCCAGATATAGCCAGATGAGTTTGTCTGAAAATAGTGTATACACCAATGATAGCCATTTAATAGGGATAATGATCATGAACCATTGGCTTTAGGGTACACTATTTTCAAACAATCCCAGATCATGTTCTCAGGGAAGCCAACTAGAGAGGGACCGAGCCACACCGGCTTTGAACTGCTCCAGCTGATCGCATTTCTGAGTCGCTGTCTCGTAGCAGTAGCACAGGACGTAGATTCCATTCTCGGCCGTGCCTGGGTCCCAGGCACGAAGCCCAGCAATCCCTACCTGAGTCCCGTTATGTCCCGTTTCACCTTGGTGATGTTGCCCGACATCTGCGAAAAGGGTCATTCTTCACATCTTTCAACCTCGATTCTATGATTCTTTTCTTGACCTTTCTTTTAGGGCGAGCAAACGCCACAATTCACACAAAAAATCATGTCATGTGGTTGGGAAACTCTGTGCGAAGCTTCAAACGGCGTTTCGAAACGGAGCTATGGATACCCCAAGCTGAATCTCTCGAGATTCCTTCGTGACTTCACCGGCTGAATGCGAAAAAAGCCACGCATTTCGCTGGTATTGCGCATGGCGAAGCCAGTCAGTGCCAACACAGTGTTCCCACCGAGACGGAAGCCCTCGGGTGTCAAATCGGGCCGATCACCTCAATGTGGTTTGCCCGGGATGAAACTGGCAAATTGGCCCCCCAATCTTGGACCAATTTCATTTCGGAAGGTGTCGGTTCCTGAAAATGTCGATGTTCAAAAGCAAACACAGATTTTTGGAAAACGGTGATGAATACTTGAAGAATGCGAAGGAAACAAATTGCAACTGCTCGAATGTCCATGAAAGGTATGAATTACTCTAAGAAATCATCGTTTGTATTTTAAAAACATCTTCAAACCGCCAACAAGTAACAAGTAATTGTGTTCTTGGCCAATGTCACTTACAGATTCCTAGCATTACCTATCATCACAGCGCTGGACAGAACCCCCACCTGAACCCAGTCACAGTCTGTCATGATTTGCAAATGATCGTGCCCGATGGCTGGATTTACTGCGTCCCAATACTCTAAAGCGCAATGCGGCCTGGAAACTGTCGAGCTGTCGATGTCGAAAGAGAGTTTTTTGGGGGGAGTAAATTGAGTACATGTTATCATATCAAGAAGAAGTTGACCAACAAACCCTTGGATTCATTTGGAATTAGTTAGAGGTTATCAAACTTGCGCAAGTCCATGCCATTCCTGGCAGTCAAACCAAAACTGGAATGTCATCTGACCGCGGAACCAGGTAACACCGTTGAATCGTTAGCACTTCAGTGCCGAAAGTTTGGAAGCTCACCAACCATCATTAGGACACAAACAACGGAACCAATGATTCCCTCACAGCAAATGGGTACAGGATCACAGAAGGGTATGCTCAAAACACCTGATTGATCCTGATTGGTAGCTGTTTAGCCACATGACTGGTAGTTGGGCCACCCATAGTACACTTAGTTGTTGATCACCTTCCAAGGCAATTCTTTGGGAAAACAAGCAACGAACAGGTAACGAACCACCAACTGGCTACGTCTTTCTCGGAAAACTGGTCGGTTGATGTTGAAGAAAAGAGCTCCTGAACAGAACTTGAAATTTGGAAAAACTGAAGAAGTCCGCCTGTCCCCATCATTTGTGCGTTGAAAAGAACCTTTCGGATTCTTGTGGGTTGCCAGCAGCTTCGACACTTTGACTTCCAGTCGCAGCGGGAAAATCTGCAGGAATTTCGGGAACACCCAGGAATTTTTAGGGGTGGGAAAATTGAAACCGCCATTTTCCGATGTTCCCTTTGACCAACCCACTGGTCACCAACATCAATAGAATCCCTTCAGATCGCTCATCACACACACAGCTGCCATGGAACATTCCATCATGCCCCACCACCAACAAAAAACAGTGAATTCCATGAGCTATGGTCCAACATTATATATAAATATATGGTCCAACACTAAGACTACATATAATCATTCCCACCAAAACTAAATATATGGTCCAACATTATACTGTAACTATCATGTGGTTGGGAAACTCTAAACTCTTCTACCTCCAAACGGCTCCCCATTTCATATGGAATATTAGATACCCCCTGGTAAACGTTAACGAAAAACTATGGAAAATCACAATTTTCAATGGGTAAATCCACTATAAAATGGTCATGTTCAATAGCTATGTAACAAATTGCCAGAGGGTAATCCCATTGATAAATGAACAATGTTCAAACACCCTCCTTGTACTGGTTGGTTCAAAGGGATTCCCAACTCATGGATGTTGATAATCCCCAAATATGTTGGGTAAAATAAAAACACCCTTTTTGGCCTCTGGCTCAGCGGCCATCATGGTCATCAGCTATCCACTTATATCCCCACATTCATGGTTATCACCACCATTAAAGAACTAGTGCTTTGAATCATCAACCAACTAGTCAATGGCCAGGAACCTAAGTTGGAGGTACCTACCATATGTAAGGCCTATATAAGGCCTATGTAAGGGAATATCCCTAGAAAATATGCCCTTATATGGTACAGTACCTCCATTTTAGGATCCTTAAATTCCCATTAAACTAGCAGCACTTGTTTATAATCATCAACCGGCTATAACTGGTTGGTGGTTTGAACCCCTCTGAAAAATATTAGTCAGTTGGGATTAGTATTCCCAATATATGGAGAAAAAAAAATGTTCCAAACCACGAACCAAAATAATCATCAACCACCCTTCAAAATCAGCCACAACTCGCCGTGTCTCGCAGCCCAGCTGCCAACTCATCGCACAAAATCCCGTGTTGCGCAAGCGCGGCCCCGACAAAGTCATGGTGGCCACCTGCCCGTTGATGCCGATGCCGCAAAGGCACACGGAGTAGGTGCCTGGGGTGAACTCCTGACGGGAAGAGATACGGAAAAATGTTATCATGGATAATAGGGGTAATACAATATATATATATATACATTATCATAATACATGTATCATGATATTATATATATATATTACAAAGTGGTAATAAGGTAGAATCATATAGTAGTGTTGGATAATCAGCGTTATAATTGGAATATATCCATGGATGATAGGGTACAATACATTATCCAATAGGGTACAATAGCTACAGTAGCTGTGTTTTAAAAATAATGAATTTCATGGGGGAGTCACCCAATGCCATTTTTAGCTCCCATTTTTCGGGATGAGATGAATCTCCATGGCCCAGGGCAATTAATTGGACATAGGCCTTGTTATTGGGTTTGCCACATGGGAGAATACGCATTTTTTTAGTGAATAAACATATATATATGTGATTGCATGTGCATGTATACGTACGCGCATGTGTGAGATATACAATTAGTCTACATATTACAAAGGATAAAGAACAAGTAAATAAACAAGTACATATTTGCATATTTATATATATATATATATTCCGATTTTTACTTATACATTGCATTGCATGACATGACATTACAACACATTATTGCCATACCACGCCGTAACCATAACATAACATACACATACATCTATAATCATTTTTTAGATATCTATAGATACACAACGATATACATATACATATATCATCATTCAAATAAGATGTACATGGGATAATCGTGCTATCCGGAAAAATCTGATGCAGTCATCCTGGGATCATATTTATCCATGTTCTTCGGAGAAAACCGAAGAAGATTCGCCAAGGTTTTCCCTGGTACCTCGCCCATGTTTCATCTATTCCAATCTATTGGAGGCCGTGAGGCCTTCTTGGTAATTTAACATAGCTATGGAAAATCACCATGTTTCATGGGATTTAACAGCTAAATCATCGACAGCTGGCCATTTTCCATCTATGCTACGTCATTTACCGCTGAAACTCAGTGTTTCATTGGGGTCATGACATGTTCGCGAAGCGATTCCCGGTCCTTGAGGCTCATTCCCAGATTTGCCAGGAGATTGGTAGCGGAACCCGTCAAGTTGAAGCTCGAAATCATGTCGCTGCTGAGGTTGGCACTGCTGTCGCCCTTGGAGCGATTTTGGGGGGACCAGGGGGCCCAGGGGTCATGAATGGTCATGAAAAATGACCTTTATGTTCCCAGTAAAGTCCGAAAATCAACGATTCACCTATGGGCAAAAACCATGGTAAAAACGAAAAATCACAGTCTCAGCAAATCGGGGTGTCATAGCCATATGCCTCGTCGCAGGGGAGGCAGTTTGCACCCTCCACTGATGGCTGAACGAAACCATACTGGTACATCAAAGCACTGGAGTTTGACATGTCCATGACGCAGTCCAAACCTCTGACACATCGGATTCGTCCACCACCATCCAAGCCAGAGTCATAGAGCAGCACAGCGAAGTTCTGCTCCTGCACCTGCGCGGGGCGGGAAGTGAGGTTTTCCGAGGACCTTACTAAATCATGGTGAAAAGCCAGCAAAAAAATATATTAAAATGGTTTATCATCATGTGGTCATCTTCCCATTGAAATGGCAATGAATTGCTATAAATCTTTTGCCATCTATCAGGGATCGAGATATGATCAAAAACCTCTTGGACAAGTCCACTCCAACTTCGTTTCTGAAACGGTTGAAGAAACGAAAAAATGCCCAAAGCCGAATGCTTCATGAATTGCGGTTTCCAGCTCACAGCATATGACAATCCTCAATGAAATCAGGGTTAGTTCTTGTGCGTAACCCCGAACTCATCATCCAACTGCGGTTGTTGAAACTGCTCAAATGGGATTAAAATATCTGTCATACCCTTTGGTATTCAAACATGGCATTGGAAAGTCCACCGTTTATAGATGATTTCCATTGATTTCCCAGCTATCAACCTCCATTTACTAATCATTTCCTGCGGTTTTCCAGCCACGTTTAAGATCACGCTCGTCCCGGGCACTGCCGCACTGCCATTGGTCACGGTAAGGCCGAAGCAAAGCCCCTCGTCTCGTTCGAGTTTCCCATCCTGGCTCAGTGATTTTTGGAATGTCAGCTAAATCTCCAACGGCAGATATCACAAGGATCAAGTTTACCTTTCTTGGTATATTGATGGCAAATATCATGAGATGTGCATCCCGTTGCAGCTTTCGCAGCTAGACGTCCGACCAATCAAGACCACCTCTGCCCAGTCAACCGTGTCAACGGCGCCAACGTCGCGGTGTCGCCAAGCATCGGCATTGATCCATATCCAGATGCGATCAGTGGGTGGGATAAAGCCCTGAAAGATGATTGCTTCAACCGCCTGTCAGGTTGTTGAATTTCCACTACCTCGATCTTAATTAAAATCTTGCCCGGCAAATATGAACAAACTGGGCCTCTAAATCACACACACCCAAATGCATCAAATTTGGCTAACCTTTTTGAGATCCTTTTCATTACTTTTTCTGATCCCCGAGATCCCCCTAGTGTCCGACTGAGGCTGGGAGGTGTGTTTTAAAGTGACCAAATTTCCCCAGAGGTTTGAGAAGTTTATGTGACCCAAAAAATGAACCAATGGGTCCAAGTTGGATTACACCTCGGAGACACTGCAACGAAGCCTTGCCCTCAATGACCAGCGTTTTTTCCTTTCTTTGCAGATTGTTGAAGCGGCGCTTTGCGTGCTAAATCAATAGCACACACATGAATAGAATACCAGTAGTACCGCACAAGGCGGTGGCGGAAGTTTCAAAAATGGAAAACCTATAGGAGAGGTGAGTTGGTGTGGCGCAAAAATGGCAGAGCGAACCCACTGATGGACCGAAAGGTGCTTGAAGTCTCCCACTCTTGCTCTCTCTTTCTCTGAATATCTACATGTAAATAATATATTCGGATATGGTCAACAGGTTGTTGGCACGGGCCTACAGCGGAGGGCCCGCGGGCCACGCGGGCCCGCGGAGTAGCCAGAGTGAGCACGCGGCGGGCACGCAGAGGCCCGCGGGCCAGTGTGGGCCGCGCGGGCCCGCGCTAGTCTTGGGCTATCAGAGGAGTGTAGTGTGGTGTAGTCTAGTGTGTAGTGTGTAGTGAGTAGTGGGTAGTGAGTAGTGAGTAGTGAGCAGTGAGTAGTGTGTAGTGTGTAGAGTGTAGTGCAGTGTGTTGTGTAGTGTGTTGTGTGTTGTGTGTTGTGTGTTGTGTGTTGTGTAGTGCGTTGTGTGTTGTGTGTTGTGTGTTGTGTAGTGTAATGCAATTAGTGTAGTGCAGTTGTAGTTGTAGTGTAGTGTAGTCTTCTGTAATGTATTGTAGTTGTAGATGCAGTGGTAGTTGTAATTGTAGTTAGTGTAGTGTAGCGTGTGGTGTAGTGTGGTGTAGTGTAATTTAGTGTAGTGTACTGTAGTGGAGTGTAGTGTAGTGAGGTGTAGTGTAGTGTAGTGGAGTGGGGTAGTTAGTTGATGTATGTTGATGTTAGTTGTACGTAGTTGTAGTTGTAGTTGCAGGCGTAGTGTAGTGTCATTCAGTGTAGTGGAGTGTAGTGTAGTGTAGTCTAATTAGTGTAGTGTAGTGTAGCGTAGTGTAATGTAGTATAGTTGTAGTTGTTGTAGTTGTTGTAGTTAGTGTAGTGTAGCGTAGTGTAGTGGAATGTAGTGTAGTGTGGTGTAACTGTGTGTCGGGGGGTGTAGTGGAGTGTCGTGGAGTGTAGTGTAGTGTAACGTAGCTTGGTGTAGCGTAGTGGAATGTAGTGGAGTGGAGTGTAGTGTAGTGTAGTGTAATTAGTGTAGTGTAGCGTAGTGTAATGTAGTATAGTTGTAGTAGTTGTAGTTAGTGTAGTGTAGCGTAGTGTAGTGGAATGTAGTGTAGTGTAGTGTAACTGAGTGTCGGGGAGTGTAGTGGAGTGGAGTGTAGTGTAGTTGTAGTGTAGTGAAGTGTAGTGTAGTGGAATGTAGTGGAGTGTAGTGACAGGCAAGGGTTCAGCCCACACGGAGAGGTTAAGATGATTTAAGTTCCCTCATCGGGCCCGCGCGGGCCCGCGCTAGTCTTGGGCTATCAGGGGACCTATGTCGGGTGTAGTGTGGTGTAGTGTGGTGTAGTGTGGTGTAGTGTGGTGTAGTGTGGTGTAGTGTGGTGTAGTGTGGTGTAGTGTGGTGTAGTGTAGTGTGTAGTGTGTGGTGTATAGTGTGTGGTGTATAGTGTGTAGTGTGTAGTGTGTAGTGTGCAGTGTGTAGTGTGTAGTGAGCAGTGAGTAGTGAGTAGTGAGCAGTGAGCAGTGAGTAGTGTGTAGTGTGTAGTGTGTAGTGTAGTGTGTAGTGTGTAGTGTGTAGTGTGCAGTGTGTAGTGTGTAGTGAGTAGTGAGTAGTGAGTAGTGAGCAGTGAGTAGTGTGTAGTGTGTAGTGTGTAGTGTAGTGTGTAGTGTAGTGTGTTGTGCAGTGTGTAGTGTGTTGTGTGTAGTGTGTTGTGTGTTGTGTGTTGTGTGTTGTGTGTTGTGTAGTGCGTTGTGTGTTGTGTGTTGTGTAGTGCGTTGTGTGTTGTGTAGTGCGTTGTGTGTTGTGTAGTGTGTAGTGTGTAGTGTGTAGTGTAGTGTAATGCCATTAGTGTAGTGCAGTTGTAGTTGTAGTGTAGTGTAGTCAGCGTGTGGTTCATTGTAGTTGTAGATGCAGTTGTCGTTGTAATTGTAGTTAGTGTAGTATAGCGTGTGGTGTAGTGTGGTGTAGTGTAATTTAGTGTAGTGTATTGTAGTGGAGTGTAGTGTAGTGTAATTAGTGTAGTGTAGTGTAGCGTAGTGTAATGTAGTATAGTTGTAGTAGTTGTAGTTAGTGTAGTGTAGCGTAGTGTAGTGGAATGTAGTGCAGTGTAGTGGAATGTAGTGAGTGTAGTGGAGTGTAGTGGAGTGTCGTGGAGTGTAATGTAGTGTAATGTAGCGTAGTGTAGCGTAGTGGAATGTAGCGTAGTGTAGTTGTAGTGTAGTGAAGTGTAGTGTATGTAATGTAGTGTAGTGTAGTGGAATGTAGTGTTGTGTAGTGGAGTGTAGTGGAGTGGAATGTAGTGTTGTATAGTGGAGTGTAGTGGAGTGTAGTGACAGGCAAGGGTTCAGTCCACACGGAGAGGTTAAGATGATTTAAGTTCCCTCGTTTTTTGAAGCTTTGGAACTTCATACCGCGTGACCATGCCCTTTGATTGAATAAAACGCCATAGCGGACAAGGACTGTGCTGCCTGTATCGTGCTTCCATGTGCTTCTTTCGCTTTGTTAGTGTCTTTCCTTCACCTGCATGTTCCGGGTTGTGAGATTCTATGTCAGCCACTCCTCTCCTCCTTCTTGTCCTCCTCGCCGCGCCTGACCTCAACCGCAAAACCTGGATCAGAGTGGTGCCCGCCGGACCTGGATCACAAGCGCCTGGGTGAGATAGAATGCCACAATGAATGTGAGAAGACACAATAGTCACGTATGCCAGAAAGAATTCCAAAAGAGATGCCGGATAGCATGGTAGCCTTGAATTGTCAGAAGTTATGCCAGATAGACACATATGCCAGATAGTATGCCAAAAGATATGCCAGATAGAACACGCGGGTCCGACAATGTCAGTTTATGCCAGAATATATTTGAAAATATATGTTGGATTGGCAGAAAAAAAACCGGAAAAGATTTGCTAGACACAGATGCCAGACAGAATGCGAGAAAATATAGACGATAAAATGCTGACGTGAAGACCTTCGCCCTGCGGAAGACCCTCGGGCCCGCGAGCCCGAGGAGCCCGCGCAGGCCCGCGGAGGGCCCGCGGAGGGCCCGCAGGCCCGCGAGCCCGCGGGCCCGCGCGGGCCCGCGCGAGTCTTGGGCTATCAGGGGACCTATGTCCTATCTATCTTCTATGTATCTATCTATCTATCGATCTATCTCTCTCTCTCTCTTTCATCTAATTACCTATCTATCTTTCTATCTTTCTTTCTTTCTATCCATCTATCTATCTGTGGAGTGCAGTTGTAGTTGTAGTGTTGTGGAGTGTAGTGTAATGTAATGTAGTGTAGTGGAGTGTAGTGTAGTGTAATGTAGTGTAGCATAGTGTAGTGTAATTTAGTGTAGTGTAGTGGAGTGTAGTTGTGTAGTTGTAGTTGTATTTGTAGTGTAGTGGAGTGTAGTGTAGTGTAGTGTAATGTAGTGAAGTGTAGGGGAAGGTAGCGTAGTGTAGTGTAGTGTAATGTAGTGTAGTGTAGTGTAGTGGAGTGTAGTTGTGTAGTTGTAGTTGTAGTTGTAGTGTAGTGGAGTGTAGTGTAATGTAGTGTAGTGTAATGTAGTGTAGTGTAGTGTAGTGGCGTGTAGCGTAATGTAGTTGTAGTTGTAGTTGTAGTGTTGTGGAGTGTAGTGTAGTGTAATGTAGTGAAGTATAGTGTAGTGCAATTTAGTGTAGTGGAGTGTAGTGGAGTGTAGTGGAGTGTAGTGGAGTGTAGTGGAGTGTAGTGGAGTGTAGTGGAGTGTAGTTGTGTAGTTGTAGTTGTAGTGTTGTGGAGTGTATATAGTGTAGTGTAATTTAGTGAAGTGTAGTGGAAGGTAGTGTAGTGTAGTGTAGCGTAATGTAGTGTAGTGTAGTGTAATGTAGTGTAGTATAGTGTAGTGTAATTTAGTGTAGTGGAGTGTATTGGAGTGTAGTGGAGTGTAGTTGTAGTGTTAGTGTTGTGGAGTGTAGTGTAGTGTAATGTAGTGTAGTGTAGTGGAGTGTAGCGTAGTGTAGTGTAATGTAGTAGTGTAGTGAAGCGAAGCGAAGCCACATCTGAGCCTCCAAAAGTGGTCCGAACCCCTAGCGTTTTTAACATTTTGACTTCAAAATGTGCTTCGCGCCACAACCACGTGCACTTTTTCGAGATCTGAACTTCCAAAAGTGGTCCGAACCCCTAGTGTCTTTAACATTTTGACTTCCAAATGTGCTTCGCGCCACAACGGCGTGCACTTTTTTCACATCTCAACTTCCAAAAGTGGTCCGTACATGGTGTGCTTTGTACATTTTGACTTGGAAATGTTGCTTCGCGCCACAACGGCGTGCACTTTTTCGACATCTCAACTTCCAAAAGTGGTCCGAGAATGGTGTGTTTTGTAATTTTGACTTCGAAATGTGCTTCGCGCCACAACGCCGTGCACTTTTTCAACATCTCAACGTCCAAAAGTGGTCCGAACCTTTCAGTTTTTAACACATTTTACTTCCAAATGTGCTTCGCGCCACAACGCCGTGCACTTTTCCAACATCTCAACTTCCAAAAGTGGTCCGATCCTGAGGTGTTTTGTACCTTTTCACTTCGAAATCGGCTTCGCGCCACAACGGCGTGCAACTTTTCATCTCTCATCTCCCCAGATGTCTCCGCACCCGCCGCTTTAGCGAGCCTACTTTTAAACCCTCCGGAGCCACAAAACCACGAAAAAACACAGTGTTTCGCGACTTTCCTACCTTTTCGCGCACCTGCATCTTCTTTCTTCTGATCTTTTCTCTTCTGACTCTTCTCCCTGCTGACTGCTTTTTCATCTCTCCATATTGTCGGAAGTTTGACTTCTAAACTTCCTTCGAAAATACAAAACAACCTTCCAGAAAAGTGACTGATTGACACCATAAACATAAGTAAGTCCACGCAAAAACCATTAACGAGATATGGCATTGGTGGAAAGAGACGATTAAACTGATATTGACTAAAATACAGTCACAAGAAACAAACATAGTACAACCAAAACATCCGTGTACCAGTTTCCTTCGCGGGTGGCGATGAAGTCTCCAGCCGTTTTGAGATGTTCCAGGTTCTTTAACATAATTATAGAACATTGTCCAGTTATAGCTATTTAAAAATGGTGATTTCGATATATGTTAAAGAACCAGATATTAATAAATTCTGATTCGGTTCAGAATCAAACCCCATTCACCCGCAGGCGCGATCTCGGGCCTCTTGTGTGAGCAGAGCCACTGCACACTTCCTGCCAGACTCCCCATCCTCCCAAATCAAGGGCTCGCTTTGCTCGTTGTACAGGAAATCCTTCACATACCTGGAATGCTTAGGATGCCACCAAAGAATGTAACATACCCTCGCTGGTGGATTACAATTATCCACTGGCAAGCACAAGAAATATATGTTATAAAAATATATAAAAATCCTGAAAAATCACCAGCAAATCTCCCAGATACGTGGCATGATCCCTGACCTCTGGAATTGCCACAGCACAGTTCTGCAGTTCGACTTGCAGCCCTGCTATACCACTGCTGAGGCCGTCCCGGCTAATCCAGGTGGCACAACTTTCGTTGCTGATGTTGTAGCTGATGGCTTCACTCTCCAGAGAG